AAAAAAAAAAAGAGAGAGAGAGAGAAAGAAGCAGTCATGTGTTGATGAGAAAGGAACCATCCTGTGAGACTTCTCCCTGCCTGGCGGCCTTAAGGGAAGAGGTGTCAGCTGTGCTCTGATCCTTGTAGCAGGTAGTGGGCCTCGTGTGGCCCCTCTCTCCGCTTCCTGTCTCACTAGGTTTCCCTTCCTCCCAGCCTTGCTGCTCTCCTGGACTACCCACGAGTCTCCTAGACAGCCCTGTGCTCACTGTGTACAGTCACTTCTTGGCCATTCCTGGGCTGTGTCATCCTTAGAGTCCCCAGCCCCAGTCAATGTGTGACCAACATGCTGCCATCACACACAGTCTGCTCCAACCACACAGTCCCTGTCCCATCCCCCTTGCATTAATGCCACCCAGGAAAGCGCTCCCAGATGGCAGATCAAAGCCATGTGTCAGCTCAGAGCAGGTCCTGCCTAGAGAAGCCAGCCACACTGCATTCTGGAATGGGACCTAACCCTACTGCCCGAGGCCCAGGGGGGTTCTGGTGGCAGGGAACTGTAGCATTCTGATGCTGGTCCCAAGGACCCACCGAAGTGGAAAAGGGCCTGAGGCTTCCCTTGGGCAGTTATGGCCCTTGAATTTGAAAGTCACTTTATTCCTTAAAAGAAACATATTTTGAAGCAAAGATTAAGACTTAAAAAAACAAAACAAAACTATACTTATCCAACCATTTGCTACCAAGACCCTGAAGCAATTCAAAGGAGAAATCCCTCCAGATTCTGCATAATTTTAACCATCTCAAGTGGACAAGTTCACAGACCCCTGTGGGCCTGGGAATATCTCAAAATGGTGATTTATTCCTCTATGAAAAATGCATATTGTGATTTTCGAAACTCTTACCATAGGCTCTGCACCCATTTGTTTCTCTTAGACTTGCGCCTTTCACTCGGAAACTGTGGGCGGCAGAGCGTGATGTCATCGGCTGTCACTGCCCTTTGTAATTTTCTGATTGATGACACATCAGAAAATTACAAAGGCTTTTTCTGCCCATCAGTTCCTGGAAAGCAGCATGCCTGCTTCTCTTGGCAAAAGGTAAAGGTTATTTTTGAAATAAATGTTAACTTAATCAGAGAATTTTGAAAATTATCCACTTAGTATTAAGAACTTAGATTTCAATATATGTATAACTGAATCAAATGCTGTACAGCAGAAACTAACACAACACTGTAAAACAACTATCCTTCAAAAGAAAAAGACAGATTTCAAAAAAGAAGTAAATTATTGATTAGATTACGGATGTACTGATGTTTGTGTGTTTTAAATTCTGCATTTGGTCTGGATGGCTCTCCAATTACTAAAGATACCATGTGGTGAGAAACAAAGAAAACAAGCTAATAATCAACTTGGTCAAAAACAACTTAGCAACCAAGTGACTCCTTATTCATGGCTGCATGAAAGCAGGAACCAGAGGTGGGCCTCTCAGGACTGCGAATTTATGATCATATTTGGGCTTCCAGGTTGCTGGACTCATCGCATTCAGAACAATGGGCACCCACACTTTAGAGGGCTGTTTCTCTCTAGAGAGAAGATTGTCAGGTTAGTTCACTTACTTAAAACCCTTTTTTAATTTATGGACCTAATGATTTCTTCACTCATTCTATGGCTCAGATCTAGAAGAATGCCTTTGTGGTTGGGTAATGCACTTGGGCTCCTAGGGGAGAGCTTGGAACTCTCCAATGTTGACTGTGGAACACTCACCAAATTAAATTTAGTGAGCTGGGTCTCACTCATTCGGGTTTATGTGCTATCCTGGAGGTCGTGACTTACAGGGGTGTTGCTGGAAATGAACCACAGGCTGGGGCTGCCCAGGGCTTCCGCCTTCCGATGGCCTGCAGTAGGCAGTGTCACGGCTCATTAACTCAGGCCTCGGATAATCAGGAGAAACAAACTCTTATGTAAGCGACACAGGGTTTGTGGTTCTCTATTTCCTCCTGTTCCTCCTCAGTGCAGCTACGTACTAACCAGTTTGCCACACAGTAACCTCTCAGAGATTTGAAACGGTTCCCACAGCTTTTCTTCTCCAGGCTGAAGAGTTTCCACTTGTTTAATCTCTTCTTATAAATACAATTTTCCGACCCTTTCAATTGTCCTAAGCCTCTGTACATTAAAATAAGAATGATAAATGCCAGTTTACTTTATCTCACATGTGAATTGGAGATGGGGAGACATTAGGACGGGGAGATATTAGGGTAGACTCGTGCTAGGGAACCAGCATTCACTGTGGGCCTTCTACATGCTTGCACTGAGAGGTCTCCTTTAGTCTAGCTGTGACTCAAAGGATCAGGCCGGTCTGAATCCCCTGCGAGTCTGGCCCAGGACAGACTGGGGAGCTAGAAATCAAGAGGAGTCTTAGAGCATCCCCGGTCTCAGACAGAGAGCCTGGGGGACTGGCAGGTTGATTGTGTCTCATACGGGCCTTTTATGTCGAACTGTCCATGTAGAAACCTTACCCTGAAGCCTCTCCCTAAGCGTATCATCCCCCACACCCCCCAAGATCCAGCTCCTTGGCTCCCCCTCCACACCTGGCACATGCTCTCTGCCTGAGGCTTCTTCCTTTGCTTGGAACCTGGCTACCTCTCTGACCCATCAGGTGTCTGGGTCCCAGGCTCCCTAGCAGTCCCATTGCTTTGTGGTCATGCTTTCGCTTGTGTATAACAAGAGGGAGTTGGAACTTGATATACTTTTGTTAAAGCAATGAATGAGGCTGTGAGTCCCCTGGGATCTTCATGCAAGCAGATACCCCAAGCTCACACAGTGCTCATCCCTTCAGACCCCTTTCCACACAATCCTGCTGTGGCCATGATATCCTTATGTCAACTCATTTTTAACTTACAGGACTAGTTTTGAGCAAATCTCTTAACCTCTCTGGGACTTAGTTTCCCTATCTGGAAAATAAAAACCTCATTCCTGGCTTTTTAGCTCCTGTGTAATCAAGTATAATCAAGTACTCTAAGCTTCCTTGGGCCTATTGTAAACTCTGGGTCGGGTTAAATTCCCTGTGTTTTAGTCCCAGCTCTGCACCTACTCTGGGGCAAGTCACGTCCCCTCTCTGGGACTCAGATTTGTCATCTGTAAGAATGGGTGTTGGAGCAGAGGCCGCCTCCAGTGTGGACAGCCCTGACTGCTACTGCCCTTGTGAATTCCCAGTGATGCTAGAACGTCCTTGAGGTGACATGAGCTCTGGTGGGGCCTGTGAGACCCACTCGTCACCCCCAGACCTTGAGACTTTCCAATACCTGGTGATGGCCCCTCCCATTTGGAGTCCCCTCCTTCTTTCCCCCAACAGGAAGAGATGGTGAGGACAGCCAGAGAATGGTTGTCCCTCCTTACTGTCTGGGGGTTCATGCTCCAGCCACCCTCGGTGGTCACTCAGTGCCCAGCGTTTGTCCTCCTTGGGCCTCCAGCCCTGCATGTCCATCTGCCCAGCACCTCCTTGGCTCTGGGGGGAGGTAGCCATTGGCTTCTGAGGCCTCCCTGACTCTTTCCCTCACAGGGAAGCCTCCGGGCCTGTCCACAGGGATGGGGGACTGAACAGGGAAGTGGAGGAGGAATCAAGACACTGAAAGGAGGAAGGAGGGGGTGGAAACCAGAAGCCCACCCCAACCCTGACACCTCCCTGTTCCTCACCTGGTGGCCATCGCCCGGTGCTGGTCCACCAGGACGGCCCACGCCTAAGCCCTCTGCTCCGGGCCACCCACCATCTACACCCTGTGGTAAGGACCCTTCCCTCTCACGAGCCCCACGGGCTCCATCCTGGCCTGGGACACCTACTTGTGCTCGCCATCTCTGCCTCCCTTGGTCTTCTCTCTGCCTTTGCTGAGTTGGGGGAAGAAATGAGGAGACAAGGGGATGTGTGAGAGGGTGTGAACCAGAGACTGCAGGCTTAGCCCCGGCCCTGCTGACCCCCCCCCACTCCCCAGGGGCCTCCTTGTCCCAGAGACCCCTCACCCCACAGCCTTTTACTTCAATAAGCCTAAGCCTGCTGGGCAGGCGTCCCCTGGCCCTGGGCTTTGCCTGGGGAGAGAGGGGAGGGGCTGTGGTCCCCATTCCTCAGGAAGGAGCTCACAGCTGGGGGAGGGGCTGGCAGCCACTCTCCCATTGACCTCAAGCCCAGGAGAACCTGATGGGGGGGGCTTCTGGGTAGCTGCGGACCTCCTCCTCCCCGCGGCCGGGGCTGGGATTTCCGAATGTGGGTTGCAGGTCCCACAGGGAGCGCAAGGTTAGGTGAGCCTGGCCACCCTCTGGGCCTAGGTCACCCTGTTCTCCCCACCATGCCTGCTCCCCTCCAATGGAGTGGGGAGCTTGTAGGCCCTGAGGGCCTCAGAGAACAAAGGTGGGCCAGGGAGGGTCTGGGCATGCATAGGGAGTGAGCTACAGGCCTCCAGAAAGCCCTTCTGGAATGTTCTCTCAATGCTTCCCTCATGCTGCGGCAATGAGGTTGAAGGAAAGGAGGTAAATAACAATTAGCATTTTTTTCCCCTCTCCTCACACCCTGTCCTGGCACAGACCTTGCCTAAGTGGAAGGGACTCCCACCCCCAACAGCCAGGTCTGGAAGGGCCCAGATGGATCACAGTTGTCCTTTCCATTAGGCTAGCTAGTCAGCCTGTAATTCTTTTCCATGGAGTTAATATATGTCAGGTCTCTGGCTACCGAAATCGGCTGAGAGTACCGGACAGAGAAGAGAGAAGGGGAGATTATCTCAGCAGCACTGCTCTGGCCTCGGCTCTGGCTGGTCTTGGGACCCACTGAGAGCTGTGGGGGCTCCAGTGAGCTTTTGAGAATGAGGGCCAAATGGGAGATTTACTGGCCCCACCCTCACATTAATCCCAGCAGGACTGCCTTTCTCTGAATTCGTGTTGGTTATTTTTTAAAGAATGCTGTGACCCTGAAAAGTCTGAAAAGCCTTGTAGTAGAGGAACAGGAAGGGGAAATGATGTATCACTGTGAGTGGGCAAGGGTCGGCAAGAAGGTGGAATCTGTGTGCTTGAATGATGAAATGCGGTGCTTTTTTCCTTTCCCTTTGAGTTTTGCTCTGACGTGGCAGAGACGTGTCAGGCTGGCCCAGGCGGAGACTTCCCAGGCACACAGCAGGCCAGGGCACAGCGAGTGCCGGCCACCAGGCACCCAGCACAGCCCCCCTGGCACACGCCCACCTACCCCTCCTCACACACTCCAGGCCTCTGGGCCAACAAAGGGGCCACACACAGGTCCACATTCTGAGTGCGGAAATGGAGAAGGGAGAAGACCCTATTCTTGTGAAAAAATAATACTCTCATGATTTTACCGCACCGCTATGACTCCACCTAACGTGAATAATAGCCGCACGGCCCTGCGGTGAGGAAGCGAGCGTGCCTGGACATACTGACGCCCTTCACCTCACAGGGCGGAAGCTGTTATTACCCTGTTTTCCAGATGAGGGAGTGAGGCCCAGCCTGCCCTCAGTCACTTGGCCACCAGGGGTGGGGCTGAGAAGTGTGACCTCACGGCCAGCCTTGTTGCTAGGGGACCTCTCCGTGAAGCCCTGGATGGGCCTGACTTTCCTCCTAGAGTCCACTTTGTGCTTCTAGGGACCCAGTCTGGCCAGGGAGGTTCTGTTTCTCAGCCAACGCTCTCTTGTTCTCTCTGCCGGTTTCACTCCGCCTCTCCCCCAGCGTCTACCCCATCACTCTGTGCCCCACAGGGGCAGTTGTGGGGCAGAAGATCAATATGGCAGCCTCCCCAGGGTCTAGGGTTTGCTGGGACCCTAGTGCATCATGGCGCTAGGCCTCATTTGATTACTCAGTCCTGGGCAAGGGGTGAAGAGAGCCCCTACCTCGGGTGAAGCGGCTGGGTTTGGGAGGAGTCTCTGAACACCGCTTCATCCCAGCTCTCAGAATGGCCTTGACCCTCGCTCCTCCTGCAGCTTCTGGAGTTCAAGAAGGAGGCAAGGGCGGGGCCATGGGAACTCATAGGTCAGAACTCTGGGGGTGAGGCTGGGGGTGCTGACCCCATACACACGTCTGTGCACACCCAGGGCACACGCCCCATGCCCAGCTCTGTCAGAGCGCCCAGCCACGCACACACACATCCGGTGGCCTAGGCCCCAGGCCTAGGAGGGAGGTACCTGTCTTCCAGGGATCTCCTCTGGAAGAGTGGACCCTCCTCACCCTCTCCCCAAATGAGACCCAGCAGAAGGGAGCCCAGCAGAAAACCCCTCATCCCCAAGGACTCTGGGAAGGGAGGCTGGGCAGAAGGAGGTGGGGCCGTGGAAGGCTGGAGGGCCAGGTAGCTGCAGAAAATGAGGTGGAGAGAGTCACGAGATACAGGGAATCTGCGAAAGCCCCAGGTCTCTGGAGTGCAGCTGCGAGATCAAAGCTGCATTTCTTTCTTTGTTCTAAGATGTGGTCCTTGGCCCAGAACCCAGTGGTGTGTGCAGCTCCCTGGAG